AATCTACTTGACTGAACACAACTTGGCAAAGACAGGAGGCTTCCCCTACTGTTTTCAGACATGGCTAGTTCCTCCCTTCACAGGCCATTCTGTCTGTGCTGAGTTTTCGCCTTTAGCTACCAATTATGCCTGTTGTTTCCTATAAGCTCTGTTATTCCCCGCTTGCTTCCCAGATAGAGGCAGCAGGAGACCCCCTTGTTAAATCCAGCAAAGCAGGGGAGTGTGTGTCTTATTATATCTGCTGTGTACTACACCAGACTCCTCAGCCGAGAGCTGCTTCCAACGACTCTGAAATAATCTCCACAGAAGCAAAACATTCACTACGGATTTGGCAATTGCATCAAGATTATGAGATTCTGCACATACAGTTGATGAATTAAAAAGCATCGTGGAGTGAGTACATACTATAATCAGATTATGCATATCGCCGAGGAGGATTGCCAGCCTTAACAAGTTCAAATACAAGATGCTCAGCGGCATGTGATTTCCAGATAAGCAACAAAGTTTTAGTATAAGCGTGTCCTGTACAATATTAATAATGCGAATGTTAATTATACTCACAATTTTAAGCTGCTTGTTATTTATTTGAAAGTGACATTTAACTATATGCCATGTATTTTTTCTGGCAATGCTAACTGGGAGAAATAAGAGTTTTAAGGAAGGATATCAGAAGACCAGGAGAGAGAGATACTAAGGCTGAGGATGGAGAGCTGATAAAGAGAAAGATGGGAGTCACTGCTCTATTTTAAAAGGTGATGGATAGATCTGTTCATGTAAGCAGAGATTTCATACCAAGAGAGAATTAAGGAGCAATGTTAAGGACGTGCTGTGGAGTGTCTTAACAATGGGCAATACTTACAAAGTAAAGTCTGCAGTACGGCGAAGGTGCGTGGAGGGGAGACTGTTTATGAAAATGGACGAGCAGGGGCAGATAGTGGAAAAGCTGACTCAGTGTTCATGGAAAGAAGATCATGATATAGCCCTCCAAAGCAGACAGAAGGGAATTTTGAGGAGGAGGGCACCATGGGCCAGAACTAACAGATGAAAGGAGGACATTCTGGGCAGAGAATATTTTCTTACAGAAAGTCATAGATCTGTAAAGAATCCAGGGGACTGGCTACCATAGTTTCCATCACTCTTTATGTTGTTTGATCATCTGTGTTCTGGAAGTTGCATGAAACCCTCCATAAACATTCACACGCAGGTGAATTATTGAAGGAGTGCTTGAAAGATAAGAGAAATTATCCAGGCAAGGGTGACACATGCCTTCAATCCCAGCATTTAGAAGGCAGGCAAGAGAATCTCTGAGTTTAGTCTAGTCTACAGAGTGAGTTCCAGGACAGCCAGGGCTACATAGAGAAACTTTGTCTTGAAAAACAAAAACAAAAAACAAAAAAAAAGTAGGGTGGCCTTTAGGCAGAGGCAAGTGGATCTCTGTGAGTTTGAGGCCAGCCTAGTCTACAAAGTGAGTTCCAGAGCAGATTTATTACACAAAGAAACCCTGTCTCAAGAAAAAAAAAAGTTTAAAAATCCCCACACAAATGCTCACTCGTAGAGGTTAGTGAGCAAGATATCAGCTGGAGGAAAAAAATCCCCAAATAGGAAACTGAAGGTTGGTTTTTTGAGCACCTATCCCCTCACCCAAGGAATCCACAGGAGTACCCTAACATGTAACACACTTTTATTTCAGACTCAAAAATTAGCAGAAACAGCCGGGCGATGGTGGCGCACGCCTTTAATCCCAGCACTCGGGAGGCAGAGGCAGGCGGATCTCTGTGAGTTCGAGACCAGCCTGGTCTACAGAGCGAGTTCCAGGACAGGCTCCAAAGCCACAGAGAAACCCTGTCTCAAAAAAAAAAAAATTAGCAGAAACCCTAGGGAATTCCTGGCTCTATGTACAGAAGACCACATCTAAGTTCTGTGAGTTTGGGAGAAGACCAAGTGCTGGTCTAGATCTCCTGATCTAGAAGGTTTCTTTTTTCCTTTCTCTTTGATAACCGCGCTTTGAACACATAAGCACCACCGTCAACATTCATTCTATCTCAGACACAGATGGGAAAGGACTGGCGAGAGCTCTCCTGGCAAGAGACGTTATTGGAACGCCTCCCTTTAGTGATTTTGCACATTACCATAGCTATGAATGCCTAAGTGAGAAATCTGCCTTTGCACCTTCCCATTACTGCCATGTATTTGAACGTGTGTGTGTGTGCCCCTGTATAAACATGCCAATGCACGCTAATGCGTGTGAGTATAACTACTTCCTGGAATAGTGGAAGCTGTGCTGCAATCTATAAAAAGACCATGGAAACTCTTCTCGCAACTGTTGTGACATTTTTCAGCTGTAGTTCCAATATTTTTCCAAAAGCTAAGTACTGAATTATAATTACAGCCACAAATTAGCACAGTGTGTTGTTATTTCCAGAGTAATGGCCTTGGAGAGATTTTCTTTGTCCAGTCCATTGAAAGACTTGGGAATAATGTCTGTTCCTTGATCACAACAAGTAATGCTTCAGAAGGCTTCCCCCTAGTAAGAAAAATTTATTCCTAATTCAAGCCTACCTCACTTTCTCTTCTATCAGATATTCAGGGTGGCTGGTGCTCTTCTGAGGTTCATGATCCATGCAGCATTGAGTTTTGTACGGGGTGACAAACATGGTTCTATTTGCGTTCTTCTACATGCATTCAGTCTTCCAGTTTGACCAGCACCATTTATTGAAGACAGAGGCTGCCTTTTTTGACTTCTTTGTTTTAAAGTTTTTTTTTTTTTTCAATTTAATTCCATTGGTCAACATCTCTGTTTTTATTGTTGCTACAGAACCTTAATGAATTGGGCAGTACAGAACCCTAACGAATCAGGCAATATAGAATCACTGGTGAAGGTAGAGTATCACAAAACGAGGTTCCCTTTTACCTGCCAAGACTCCTTGGAGTGAAAGAGGAAAGCAAGCTGTGCGAGACAATCCTGGTGAGACTAGGAAGCAAAGGAAATCAAATAGAATGTTTCCGCAGTAATTCTTACAATCTCTCTGTCATTTCCCTAACTAGGCACCAGCACCTTAGAAAATAAGAAAGCCAAGAACGAGAGAGCAGTGGTTGTGGCTTCACTTCTGCCTTAAACTCTATTAACTGAGCCCACCCCAGCTCTCACCTCCTAGAAAACATGGCCAAGAGATCTGAGGAGGGTATGAAGTAAGGAGCAGGCAGATACACGCTCTGCCTGAAGACGGGAGTGAGGCATCCAGTCCCATTATGAATAAAAGACCTCTGTGGCTCTAGAAGACCTCAGGGTTCATATTGACTTAAGGTTCCATAGCAATTCCTTAAGATAAAGTGACGAACTTTTATTCTAATCACTCATGTTGGGCTTTGACTGACGTTCCCAACCATGGTCATTTTGTCCTCTCAAGCAAATGAGAAAGTGGACCAGACCAATGCGTATACAAACCAAGCCTTTAAACTAAAGGACTTAAACTTGAAAGAACAATACCCAGAGTTCATGGGACCCAAGCCTATGAAAATGATCATAGAGCTGAAGGCATCAAGTTGGCACCATCTAGGCAGATGCAGCTGTTCTGTATACCACTTATTGCCACAGAATTTGAAAGGATGACAGGCAGCATCTCATCTCCACTCCACTTCTTTCTCAGAGACCTGAGTTATAATACCCAAGCCTAATACCCAAGCTCTTCCATTTCCAATCCTGAACTCTTTCTAGTACTCATAATGACAGCTTACTTTTTGATCCCAAAAAAGGGTGGACTGGTTCCCACGTTGGGTGACAGATGATGAAGGAAGTTACAAAATAACCCCACACTAGCTCAGAATTAGGTATAATAAAGAGTTATTAATTAGAGGTAGGCTCACAGATCACAGTCCTAGATCACAGTACTCTGCACAAACAGGGAACAGGAACCAAATCCAGCAGCCGGAAGAGAGAGTGAGCATGTGCTTTACCTTGGCAATTATAGTATAAGAGATCACACCCAAGTGAGCTGGGATCTTAAAGGCTATTGGCTGAAGGAGCTCCCACAGCAGCTGGTGTGGACTAATTCTAAGTAGTTTACAAAAAGAGTTACTTCACTGAATCCTACAAACAACCCACACACTGCTCTTGCCGTTCTTGGATTTAGAATCTAAAACCCAGTGTGGCTAAACAATTTGCTCAACCCCAAAGCCAGGAAACACATAACCTTCCAGGCCAGCTATAGCAGCAAACACCTTTAATCCCAGTGCTTCAGAGACAGATCTCTGTGAGTTAGAGGCCAGACTGGTCTACACAGTGAGTTCCAGGACAGCCAGAGCTACATAGTGAGACTCTGTCTCAAACAAACAAAAACCTTCTCATCCTAAAGAACTTGCTTATTTTTCCTGCCGTCTGTCTCCTGACTTCTTCGCCCCAGGAAGCACCTGTAGAGAGACTGACTCTCTGATAATTCCCTTCCTTCCACTTCCAAACGCAGTAAATTATTAAATTCTGGTTGGCGTCCATGTCACTGTATCAGAAAAGAAAATTAAGTCTCTCTACACTAGGGGGTGGGGAAAGAATAGCAGCGTACGCCTCCTTATTCTCTCCAAGATGCCTGAATCTTGCAATGCTTTAAGTAATTAGATTCCTAAGGGAAGCTGCGTCTTCTCCAGTTTCAACTCCTTTGGCTGTACATAAAAAGCAAAATAAGTATATATCACCATTAAATAACAGAATTATGGCAACAAAAACATCGTAATTTTGAGAAGAGCTTCTTCCAGCTCTGGTAATCAATTTACATATTGTCAGCTGAACCCCAGGCCGGAAGCAGAATGTGTGCTAAACCACGGGCTAATCCCATCACACTCCTCGTCGGCATGAAAGCTCTCACTGCTAATAACCCACCAGCCAGGGTTGCCTGCGGACACCTCGTTTCTTTTACTTTTCTTTTTTCGGTTTCTGATGCAAGTAAAATGATCCTTGGGGCGTAGGCGCCAATAACTAACTTGTTTCTTGTTTTGTCCCTGCTGTGCAGAACCTGAAGCGTGTGGCTGAGACCTGGATGGATGAATTCGCCGAGTATATTTACCAGCGGCGGCCAGAGTACAGGCACCTCTCCACCGGGGACATCTCCTCGCAGAAGGAGCTGCGCAAGAGACTCAAGTGCAAAGACTTCAAATGGTTCATGGCTGCCGTGGCCTGGGACGTGCCTAAATACTACCCTCCGGTAGAGCCCCTGCCTGCGGCGTGGGGGGAGGTGAGAAGACCCGCCCTACCTGTGAGAGCCTGGGGGGGGGGGGGCAACTAACTCCTTCCCTCCTCCTCCTCCTAGCGTGAGAAGAGGGAGAGACTGCTCAACCTTCCCTCTCTTCTCTGTCAGTCTAGCAGATTAATTTAAAATCATCCCCGATAAATGAGTGTCTAACTTCCTTTTAGAAAGTGCTAGAAATAAAGACCCGACCCACAGTGCTGGTATCCCATCCAAGAATTACTGAACAAGGCTGATGATGCTTCAAATGGATTTTTTTTAAATATGCCTCAAAAAAAAATATTTTAACTTCAGATTGGCAGAATTGCCACGCAAGCTCATAGAGAATGAAAATAACATCTCGTAATAATCATGATCAGTTATCAGATATTATAAAAGTTGTGATCAGATGTGAGGAAGTCCCTCACTGTCCTCTGAGCAGCCTTATTGCCGATTATATCTGCAAGAACAAGGACAAAGAAAAGGAGGGTGGAGCTAGTCTCCTACCAGGGTGTACCTTGTACCATCAAGAAGAATGTAAGGCACGTAGGTGCCACACTGGTTCCTTAAATGATCATTAAATGAGCACTATGCCCTTTCCGATTTTCAACACTCTGACCTGATTTTTTTTTTTTTTTTTTGCGTGATAATCTCAAATGGAAAGATCCAGAAAGCTTCAGGCCCCAGATTTGAAACGTCCATCTTTGGGAATAAAATGGCTTATTCCACTGTTCATTTAATACTATTACTGTAGCTTTTTCCCTCCAGAAATGTGTGCCAAAACAAAGACTTGGTCCGGTGGGGTGGATTTAGCCTAGCAATTTAACCTGCTTTTAGAAGAGGCTATCAAGAGCAAATGCTGGCTGGGCTGTGTGTTCCCACCATCTCAGGGCTGACTGCCAGGCATGTGTCCGAGCCTTTCCATCACGGTCCCTGGTTTAGGGGTGTGTGTTTAAGATCTCATTGCCTAGTTAGTATCTGGGGTCACCTCGCTCTGAAAAGCAGCTGCTTAATCCAAGCGACGTGATGAGGGGCTGGCAATGGGGTACAGTTGGTGGAGTATTTACCTAGCATGCACGAAACCCTATGCTAGGCATCCAATCCCAGCACCTAGGAGAAGGAGGCAGGACAATCAGAAGTTCAAGGTCATCTGCACAGACTCTGCGTCATCTGCGAGACTCTGTGTGAAAAATAAATAGCAAGAAGGAATAGGTTGTTTTTCTGACTGTACTTTGTATATCAGCTATTTATTTATTTATTTATTTATTTATTTTGGTTTTTCGAGACAGAGTTTCCCTGCAGTTTTGGAGCCTGTCCTGGAACTAGCTCTTGTAGACCAGGCTGGCCTCATACTCACAGAGATCAGCCTGCCTCTGCTTCCCAAGTGCTGGGATTAAAGGTGTGCGCCACCACCACCCAGCGAAGAGCCAGTTTCTTAAAGGGATGAAGAAACGTAAGTGCACAGAACATAGAACATATCTGTGAGAGATCGCCGCATTCTTCACACTTGTACAATTTTTTCTTTCAGGTGGCCTTTTGGTTTGTGCTATATGGAAAGACTGTCTTGCTTTGCTTTCTAAGAAAGGATCTCCAGTATGTAGCTTAGGTTGCCCTCCAACTCGCAATCCTCCTGCCTGGCATGCATGTCTTGGTTGGGAGTTATTTTAAAATAAGCTTCTCACTTTAGAATACTTCTGTTTAGAGACACGTGATTGTAATATAGAAAGTTTGTACCTCCCATTTATTAACATTTAGTCCTTCTAGTGGTTCCCACATCGACGGGTAGATAATCAGCTGAATTGATTCTTATCGGGATAATAACACTCAGTAAACTATAGTTGATTCAGATTTAACCGGGTTTCATACTGCAGTCGCATTTCCTTTCCAGGATCCAATTCAGTATCTGAGAAGGCTTTGTAACATCCTCCAAACTTTAAAGCGATTGCTAGTGTTAGGGTCCACGAGAAGCCCCATAAAAGACCACCAGATGTGGGTACAATCAGTAAGAGTGTTTAGTTCTCAAGAGCCAAATGTTCCAGCCGGCTGGGGCTGCACATCTGACCCAAGACAAAATGGCGACTCCGAAAGACGCTAGCAGGCTCCTTTTATACACAGCTAAATGAATTCCAAAAACAGAACATTCTGTCTATGATTGGCTTAAGCAAGTGGCAATTATATTAATACATTTCTGATTGGTTAGGGCTAGCAGGGACTGGCTAAGGCTACAGTGTTGTTCGTCTTTGGGTGTGTGTGGACAGATCTCAGGATCTGTCCCTATTTGGTCATTGAGATGCTGCAGGGGGCTGGCTCAGACTTAGTACATGCAGTTCCCCTTGTCGGCAGTGTTGTTGGTTGATTGTCCTTTGTTCATGGGCTTTCTCAGATACTGCCTGTCTAGTTTCAGGAAGTGGGGACTGGGGACTAGTTTACAACCAGGTTATTAGGATCCCGTCATGGTGTTTGCTTAGCCTTTTCAGCTAGAGCAGACGTAGCTTGTAAGCAAGGACAGTAGGTCAGCCACAGCTATAGTAAAATACTTAAAAGAGCAATGCAAACACTGGGCCTTTTATAGAAAGGAAACCACAAGCCAACAACAGCCAGACCCAAGACCCTTTATGCGAGTCCTGGGCCAAGAAGTAGGGAACTCGTGGTCTCATTCAGTTATGCTCTGAGTCGCTTGCCACCTGATTCCGGGTAAACAGTTACGAGGCTGTCTTTGGTCCTGGTTGTTGGGCCTCAGCTTGTGAACAGCGTCATAGACCATAACCAGCTCTCGGCTGTCTCCTACCTAGCTCATTCCTTGGCTCTTGCTGCCCTCAAGATTTTTTTCAACAAAGACCCACTTAAGATATGAACTCGGGCCATTCAAAGTGTTTTGAAGGCTCTCTCTCTCTCTCTCTCTCTCTCTCTCTCTCTCTCTCTCTCTCTCTCTCGTGTGTGCGCGCACGTTGTGTGTGTGCACATGCGCATGTGTAAAAATCAACGACTCTGCCGGGCGGTGGTGGCGCACGCCTTTAATCCCAGCACTCGGGAGGCAGAGGCAGGCAGATCTCTGTGAGTTCGAGACCAGCCTTGTCTACAGAGCTAGTTCCAGGACAGGCTCCAAAGCCACAGAGAAACCCTGTCTCGAAAAACCAAAAAAAAAAAAAAAAAAAAAAAAAAAAAGAAAAAATAAACGACTCTGAATGACTTGACCCCTCTTGCAAAACTTCTTGCTAGCCCTGGCATGTTTTCCTTTCCTGACCTCAGCAGCTTTTGAGCACGACGAGCACAAACTCACTTCACGGCCTTTGCAGTGCAGTTCGCACCCTTAGACTCTTCCTGCCCCTGAAATTCTATGGCTCCTCTGTCACTTTCTTTCGGACTGAGGTGGTTTGAAAGAAAATGGCCCCCAAAGAGAGTGGCATTTTTTAGGACCTGTGGCCGTGTTGGAGAAGGTGTGGTCTTGTTGGAGGAAGTGTGTCACTGTGGAGGTAGGCTTTGAGGTCTCCTACTTGTTCAAGCCACACCCGGTGAGACAGACCACGTCCTGTAGCCCATAAGATGTAGAGCTCTTAGCTCTTCTACAGCACTGCGTCTGCCTGCATGCCATGATGTCCAGCCATGATAATAATGGACTAAACCTCTGAAACTCTAAGCCATCCCATTAAACAGTTTTCTTTATAAGAGGTGCCATGGTCACGGTGTCTCTTCACAGCAATAGAAACCCTACATAAGACAGGGACCTAACTCAAAAGAACCTAACAGTTCAGCAAAGCTTTCCCTAGTAGCCTAATTATCCTGCCCACACGAGGACACACAGAAATTCACCCTCTTTCCTCCATTGCTCTAGCATCCGTCACTGTTTCAGACTGTCCTGTTTATTCATCCTGTTTCTTATTATCACTGGCAAGCAAGCCCCACGGCACAGAGATTCTGCTGGTTCGTGGTGTTCCTAACTACTCTTTGGCAGTGAGAAATAATGTCTGGCACGCAGGGGGAGCTCGATGATTATTTATTGATGGAGGGAAGTATGAATGAATGGATGACCAATCAAGGCCATGCCCACGAACCTGTGTATCTAAGCCCGCAGAGAGCACACTTGGGACTCATTCTGTCTCTCACTCAGAAGAGGGGATCTCCAGGTGTCATCTCTTCATTGGCCCAAAAAATCCAGCTCTTTGCAATAACAAATTGCCAATCATTGATCCCTGTGGACTGATAGGTGCTTTGTTGCAAAAGGTTCTATTTTATCATCCTAAGGAAAAAGGAGAAATTCCAGTGATTTCAAGACTCTTGGGGAAACCCTCTCACTTAAAAAGCTGAAGCCAAAGTCACAACTTCTAGAGACCAATATCCATTGAAAGCCACCCTTCCTTTGCTTCACAATGGCTGCAGCTGAATCAGGGGAGGAATGGGGCCCAGACAGACTAACTGTGAGCCATGCAATAAGTCAAGTACACCGTAGTTCTATTCAAGCAGCAGCAACAAGCTTTTCCAGGATGCTGTCTCGTACAGGATGAGAGCAGGTTTAAAGTGGAAAGCCGTTCTTCAACCACTCACACATGGAGTATCTCTTTGTAGCAAATGTAAAATTAAAGAAAATGAACTTCCTATCATGTTCTCTTTCTCTCTTCCCCTCCTTGGAATTCATGGATGTGCTTAAATCACTTATAGCACTCCTTTCTAATCCATAAAGGAAAGTTTTTCCGAACCCTAAAAATCATGTGGAAGAGAGAAGAAAGGATGTAAGACAGACAATAGATATCATTTGCAAACAGTGCTATGGATTCCTTTTTCACAAAGTGTCTGCTTACTGCTCTCAATGTGCCAATCTTACAACACCCATTTGTCACCTTGCAACTTCGCAAAAAAAAAAAAAAAATAGGTCTTTATTTTCAAAACTTCATCTCACTCTAAAACCATTTTTGACTCATAATTTAAATTCCTCCCTCAAGATGAATGTCACCCTGAATTGCAGAGTGTTCGTAAAGTGGGGCACCCTAAATAATGCCAGCTCCTCTGTGCTG